TCCACATCTTCGGCTGCTTCGACGTCTTCGATGGCGCGTTTACCGTCAGGTGGTCATCATGCTCCACCTTTCGCGAACGGTACCGCTATCAGCTACACCCCCGGCATCTTCCCCACGCTGAACGCAAGGGACGAAGAGTCCACAAGGACTGTTACCTCCACGGTCACCCGCCATGCGTCTGACCATGCCTCGGGCACTACTCATGCCTCTGATACCACAACATCTGCGGCCACTGAGACTAAGAAGGGTCAGGCTGGAGATAATAGGGCCTCGTTCATCGCCTTGTTCCTCGGCGTTCTGGCTGCTACCTGGCTTATCTAGGGAGACGTAGCTACTCCTCTTGGATAGCGGCATGGTACTGTAAGGAATGGAAGTTCTGGATGAAATGTGCCACAATGTTACGATAGGATGTGTGAGACGTTTTTCACGAATGACACGATATGTACATGGTCATGACGACATGTCAACATAGGAAGAAACTGAACCCTATGGAGCCTGCATTACCAAAAAGTCTTTCTATTTCACTTGCTTTATCTGAGTGCGGTCTGCAGACGTGTTCAGAATTTACTTACACGCAGTGGCGATGTGACGGCCCTCTGAAGCATACCTAGGTATTGAGATATCACGGGGAAATGAATACTTGATTATATGAATACTTCTTGATTTACAAATGATATGAAACAGTATGGGCTCGGCGATGACTGCAGCGACTTCAAACAGCGAGCTCTCCAGCAGCTTGCACAAGAAAGTGATCAAGCCGTGAAGTAATCTGCTCCAACGTGGGAGCATCTTCTCCAACTACCTGCTGTGCACCGACAGAAATAGCCCACGAGCGATTGCGTGCCCCCGATTCCATATCATCGAGCTCTTCTAAAGCCACAATAAAATCTGCTCTTTTCAGTTCGAAGGCTTCGCCGTCAAATGCCCCCGAGCCCCATCCACAATCGAGATAGATGGTTTGCCACGCTCTTACTCGATTAATATACCGTCGCAACCAGTCAGCACCATCTGGGCCGTGTTGCTGCCTCAAATGCTGGATCGCGGCAGTTGTGTCAGTAGGAAGACGAATGCCTCCCGGAAAAAGATTCTGCATGATAATGGGATCCTCCAAGATCTTGCGCGCGGGTGGATGGGAAGGATCGTCATCCTCTGAGGGGTCATAGTACGGAACCCATTCCAGGCTTTGGAACTTTGCTATTATCTCATCAAGCACGGTCTCAGCTGGCCGTCTTGGTGCTTTCTCCCATTCGTTGCGGTCAGGTCCAACTGAAGACCACTCAATTATCGTTTCTGCATTCGGTGAACGTTCAATCCATGTGCTTGCAAGTAATTGACATACGGTCCTGTGTATCATAGATTAAGTCAGTACCGTAGTGCCCGCTATAGGTATCACCGCTTGTAATCCTCAGCGTATGAGGCGGTAGCAGCTTGGTATCCTCGTCATGATACCTTTCACCCCACCGCAAATCCTCGACGAAATCTGTGTCACCGGAGTCGGCGAAGTATGTCACGGCTTTTGAGCGGGGTGTCATTTCAACGCCGAACCACTGCCACCCTTCGACGATTTCGCTGCGCATTGCAGGAATTGATCTGATCAGGTCGATAATCTCAGAATCCAGGCCAATCTTCTCGAAGATTGAAGTTGCGACGGTTTCGGAAGAGTGAGGTGGGCGAATTACATCAGATGGGGATATGTAACGCATCGCGACGAAGAGATCGAGGAGCTTCGTCAGGCGGGAGATGAAGCCCGCGTGCTTCTCAGCGATGGCCTCCATTGTCGCAAGTGTTGTGGGAATGATGACGAGCTGGTGGAAGTGATGGATGGTTCTAAGGGCCAGGGGTCGTGCGCGTACCTAGGTAGCTTCGCGATCCAATCACCAGACGCGCGACCGCGACGAACAACCTCCGGCTAGCCTTCACCACCACTCAGAAGAGCGGCATCGCCAACGAACCTCTCCCAAGACGGCTACACCCACGGTCGACTTCCGCTATTGCACGGCCCCAACAAGACTCTTCCAGCATATATCGGTGTGCGCGCACCAGAGTCATCTCGCCGACACGACGGCATTGATCGCCTTCGAGATTCAGACACCGCCTACGCTCACGTAACCCTGCGAAGGCTACATCGACTTCACGACCCTCTCAATCGCCAGCCACACCTGAACAAATTGCCAAGATGGTTGGAAAGAAATCGGGGAGAGCCCAATTGAGGGAAGAAGGTACGGCATCGGGACATCACAGCGCAAACATGGCAACTAACAAGCCTGCAGGTCTGGAGCGAACGGACAACAATATGGATCTTACGACATGGCCTCAGGTCGGCATGATCAACCAAAAGAACTACTACACCGAGTTCCTGAAGCGCGACGAACAGTTCCTCGCCGTACGATACCCCAAGGATGAAGAGAGGGCGCGCATAGTGCAGGAAGCCAGGGATAAGGATCGCGCACGCGCGTTGGGTGTACCGGCAACGGAAGGAGCGACACCACAGGTTGCGGACGAGACAATGGAAGATGCCGAGGTTTCTTTCGCATCAAGAACCGACATCTCCAAGCTCATCGTGATACATCCTGGCAGCCAGAACTTGAGGATAGGCCTTGGATCGGACGCACTCCCGAAAACTGTGCCTATGGTCATCGCGCGCAAATGGAAGGAGAGTGAGGACGAGGAGGATGAGGGAGAGCCTAGCCCCAAGCGGATGAAGGTCGAAGGTGCCGTGCCGGCGGATGCCCTGCCTGAGAAGTGGTTTGGAGAGGATGTGAGTATTCCCGTACTCGTTTCACGGGCGATGCTAACTTGCGACGAGTTTGCCGACCAGTACATGGCCATGTCATCCGAACTTAGGACGAGGATGCGATCCAACAAGCGACGAGTACTGCCCAATTCGAAAGACCTCGTTATCAATTTCAACCGAAAATCACCCCCAGACATCATCTCCGAACACAATGACATCAACCGCATCGAGTGGACAGAACTACCTGCAGACCCCAAGAAGGCACCGGACTTCTTCACTGGGCACGATGCGCTGCGGATACCCGAGAGATCCAACCCACGATACAAGCTGTTCTGGCCGATACGGAACGGCACGTTTAATGAGAAGGACTATCGCGACCGTAATCAGATCTACCATGATCTCTCCAAGATATTAGAAGAGGCTTTCCGGAATCAACTTGGTATCACCAGGTTAAAAGACCTTGTCAACTACAAGTGCGTCTTTATCATACCGGATCTCTACGAACGACAGTACGTCACAATGATATTGGACATCCTCATGCGGGACCTTGGCCTTGGAAAGGTCTGCCTGCAGCAAGAGTCGCTTTCGGCTACGTTCGGTGCTGGCTACGGTGTTGCCTGCGTAGTAGATATCGGTGCTCAGAAGACATCGATCTGTTGCGTTGACGAGGGCCTTTGTGCTGAGGAGTCCCGTGTCAACCTCAAGATGGGCGGAGCTGATGTGACGGAAACGTTCATCAAGATGATGCTCTACGGTCATTTTCCGTATGCCGACATGAACCTGAAGCGGAGATACGACTTCCTGCTTGCCGAGGAGCTGAAGCAGAAGTTCTGCTCTATGGATGAAGGCTCGGTCACGGTACAAACGTGGGACTTCCATCTTCGCGCTTCGGGCCAAGACACGCGGAAGTACACTTTCAAGACGTACGACGAAACTATGCTTTCTGTCATGGTGAGTCACACAACAATTATGTAAGATGGACTCTGCTAACGAATTCAGGGTTTCTTCAAGCCCTCAATCTTCGAGAATGCCCGGAAACTAGAGAACAGGAGAAAGGTCGTGCCTCGCTCAGTCGATCTCTACGACGGCTCACCCAACGACCCCATCTCGCAAGCACAAATCGCCATCATCGAAGCCGCAGCCGGTAAACCCGTGGTCCCCACCATCAACGGCGCCCCAGACGCCGTAAACAACACAGCACCGGCCTCAACCCCCCAACGCCCCCAGCCAAACCCCTTCAACCTCCTCGGCCGCCTCAACGACAACGAAGGCACACCCCGCTCCTCTGTAGCCGGCTCACCCGGCCCCGAAGGCAGCAACACGCCCAACCCCGACCGCGACACCCCCATGGGCGACACAGACGGCGCCCCCCTCCTCTTCCGCGACCCGATCCACGAAAAGACCAAGCTAGCCGAAGCCCGCGACGCCATCCTCCCCATCCACTCCCTCGACGCCGCGATCCTCGAATCCCTCTCCCAAGGCGCCCGCGGCGACGACCGCAAGCTTCGCGACTTCTTCGGCGGCATCATGCTCGTTGGTGGGGCTTCCAAAACACCCGGTCTACGCGAGTTCCTCGAGATGCGACTCCGTGAGTTGCGTCCCGGGTACGGTAAAGAGATTCTTGTGGGGCCGCCGCCAAGAGACTTTGATCCGCAGGTTGTGGCGTGGAAGGGGGGGAGTGTGTTTGGGCGGTTGAGTGGGCATGGGAATGATGGCTGGATTAGTCGGTATGAGTATGATATGTTGGGGGCGAGGCTGTTGAATAATAAGTGCATGTTTGCTTGGTAGGACGGAGTGAATAGGGATGCTGTTGATAGGTCTCGCAAGGAAGGTCGAGATGTTTGAACTGTTGGAGGGTGGGTGTAGATGGGTGGGTTATTGGGTATTGTTAGAGCAGCATGGGGTTGATGTGGGATGGTGAGAGTAGACATTCCGTTAAGGGCGCATCCTGTTGGGTTCAACGAGGGTGGTATTTCTTGTCGTATAACAATGTGTTATGAATACAGCTTCCTCAAAAGCCTGCTTATTGTCATGATCCCCAAGTCACTACAGCGATGTTCTTGATTTCATGGATATAGCTTGTGAGTCGTGATTGTATTTCGTCTCATATCGCATACACTAATGTAATAACACATGAGAACCACGCCACTTTGCCATTAGACTATCGCAGTTTGTTTCCTTTCCTCGTGCCACCATCACCGAGAACTCCAGCTTGCCTCTGTATCACATCTGGGACAAACGACCATCGACGCATGCAGGCGCCAGCTTACAGAGACTTCTTGGCTGGCTCGCAGACCTTCTTGTGAATCTTCCAGTGCTTCTTCTGGCAAGCGACTGAGCAGTACTTGCGGTTCAAGCACTTGGAGCAAGTGAGCAGGTTCTTGCCCTTCGGTCTATGCTCTACGCCACAGCCACCACACTCATCCGGCGTGTTGAACTGGGCGCGAAGTTCCTTGACGACGATCGAGGTGGTAGAGGTCGTCATGCCTGGATGTTGGCACATGAAGTCAGTGCATGCGTCATCAGTTCGTGCATTGATGCTACTTACCGGTTTCGAACATGCCTCCCGGGCTGACAACATTCAGACCTCCGTAGCCAGGTCCACTACTAAGACGCTCTTCGAAAGAAGCGTTCACCTCTTCGAGAAGGTTCTTGGATGCGAAGTCGTACGGTTCTCCGTCCTTGTAGCCGTCTGGACCGAAGAGCGCCTTGTGCATCTGCCGCTGAGCATCAGGCATGAGACCGCCCTCGGTGAAGATCTTCTTGAGCAAGGCGATGCAAGAAGCTGGGAGATGGCATCCGAGCGTCATCGCGCAGGCACTGAGCAGGATGTACATGTAGCAGGGATCCGAGAACCAGTATTCGAGCCCTTCGTCCGTAGATCCGGTGAGTGGCTTTAGGATCTTTGCCTCTTTCTTTGAGAGCATTTCGACAAGGACACCGGAATCGAGGTGCTTGCGAATGAGTTCGGGGTCGGAGCAACAAGGAGCGTAGATGTCATAGTGGATGCTGCGCTCTACTTCTTCTTCGGTCTTACCCTGGGCTTTGGCAACTGCATGAGCATCTTCCTGGAGTTTGGAGAGTCCGAGTTCATGACCCATATCGCCGACGTTGTCCAGGTCATGGTCCGACTGGAAGAGGCCTGATCTTACGTTAGTCGACGAGGTCACAATGCTGTAGCTGGTTACCACTCACAGTATCCCCAAGCACCCATCTTGCAGTATTGTAGTCTCTGGTTTTCGGTGCAGTGTGTTGAAGTGGAGAGGTTGTCAGAAGCGATGGCGATTTACCACTGCCAATGTTTGCTGTGTGAGGTGAATCTTGGTTGTCTGCAGTGAGCGATGAAGATGAGAGAGGAGTGGAAGCAGTGTGAGAGCTGAAGGTGTAACACGTCGCGTCACACGTCACATGGTAGACCAGGCTGCAATGTTGGCTGTTGGGGAAGGAGCGAGGACGCGTGTTCCCGTGACTCAGGCGCCTTCCTCGAATGTTGCCATCGCGCCCTCGGATAGTAAGACGTCCTCACTGAGAAGCAGCAGATCTGAAGCTTTAACATCAAAATGTAATATTAACTATTGATTAAACAAGATAACCCAAAACATCTATGCATACGAAAGAGAAAGAAACAAATCGCTCAAAAAACATCAACGACTACTTTTCAAAACGCTCAAGCAGTACCAGCATCCTTCTCCCCACTCCTCTCACCAGGGTGTCCACCTTGCTGCGCCGCCTTCTCAGCACCCTCCTGTGCCTTATCCGCTGTACCCTTCGCCTTGGCACCCTTCTTGTTCTTATGGAAGAAGCTCTTAAACGAGCTAAGCTTGGCAACGCGGAAGAGGTAGTAAGTGAGAACAGCAATAGCGGCGTTGAACCCGATGAAAGCAAAAATGATGCCAAAGTTCCTCCACCTTTCGCCGTAATAGATCGAAGAGCCGGCCAAGAACTGGTCCGCGTTGGTGAGGGAACAGTAGTTGCAGCCAGCAGTCGCGTCTGGGTTCTGGATTGTGCCGCCGGCGACGGCAGCGTAGTCGGCGAGGTAGGCGCCGCAAGTTTGGCCAGCTGGGGGGTCGAAGACGGAGACTTCGCGTTCGCTGCAGACGACTTGGCGGCCGGAGAGCATGGTGGAGACCATGCCGCCGATCCAGTATGTGAAGGGACTGCAGCGGTACATGAAGAGCCAGAAGCCGGGGAGTTGGTCCGGAGGCTGCAAGACACCGTTGAACAGGATGCTCATAAGAGTAAGGAGAGAGACGAGGCCAGACGCTGTCTCGGCGTCGGGTAGCGCTGCGATGGTCATGTCGGCGAAGGTGGATGTGTAGATGAGGAGCTGCATGCAGAACAGCAGGACCAAGCCCTGGCGTTCGCTGGATTGGCTCACACCAACGACAGGGTAGTAGAATGTGACGAACATGAAGACACCAGCGATAATGCCGTAGGGTATCTCCACAACGATGTTGGCGATCATGAAAGCGATCCAGCTGTATGCCTTGGATGGCCTCTCGCGCGACTCGTATAGAGAGCGTTGGGTGACGAAGAGGGGTTGGATCTGCTGTACAAGCGACGAGAAGATGGTAGTAAGCATGAAGACCGAGAAGATGATCGTCTGCATGCCTGCTAAACTCGTGTTGGCCTTATAGAAAGAGAAACCGATGAAGAGACCCGCGATGGCGCAGAGACCGAATTTAGCCATGACGTAGCCGGGCATGCGCCAGTATTGCTGGAAGGCTCGGTATGTGCATTCGACGATTTGCGTGGTCAATGGCATGGCGAACTCGCCGCCACCGGTTTCGGCTGCAATGTTGAGTTCCTCGCTCTTCTTGGCCTCGTGGAGTTGGTCGATATCCTTTTGGACGCCCTTGGCTTCTTCGCTTTCTCTCCAGACGTCGTACCAGTCCTGTCCGTTGTCGTTCTTGCCGGCGTTGACAATCTCCAGCATGTATTCAGCTGGGTTCTCGTCTTCACCGCACTTGCGTGCACCGTTGTTCTGGAAGTAGTCGAGGAGTGTTTGGGAGTTATCGCCGAGCTCGCCGAAGTAGACGGTCTTACCACCGCGGGCAAGGAAGAGAAGACGGTCGAATTCTTGGAAGAGGATGGCGCTGGGCTGATGGATGGTGCAGAGGATGGCTTGGCCAGCCGAGCTGATCTTGCGGAGGAAGGCAATGATGGACCAGGAACTCTGCGCAGAAGTTAGTAACCATCGATCGTACACGAGCTGATGCAATTGTACTGACCTGTGAGTCAAGACCGGAGGTAGGTTCATCAAGGAAGAGCAACAGCTTGGGCTTCGCAGCAAGCTCAACACCAATTGTCAAAAGCTTGCGTTGTTCAACGTTCAAGCCCTCGCCAGGTACACCAACAACGGCTTCGGCAAAGTCGGACATGTTCAGCATCTTGATGACCTCTTCGACGTAATCATACTTTTCCTTCTTGCTAACAGTCTTTGGCTGGCGTAGCATGGCAGAGAATTGTAGCGCTTCACGGACGGTCGAAGTCTCGAGATGAAGATCCCTGAAATGGTTAGTACTTGTGATAAGACAGACATAAACTGGAAAACTTACTGTTGTTGCACGTAACCGGTTGAGCGTTGGAAAGCAGGATCGAGAGGCTTGCCGTTCACAAACATGTCTCCAGTGATGACTCCCATTGTGGTCCGCTGAGCCAGAGCATCCAAGAGCGTGGTCTTGCCAGCTCCCGAGACACCCATAAGAGCAGTCATTGATCCTGGCTTGACGAAACCAGAGACATGGTCGAGCAGACGACGTGGCTCGCCCTTAATCTCAATGTCGTAAACAACGTCGCGCCACGTGAAAACACCCTTCTGCTCCTCAATGGCGCTGACATCACCAGCGCCTTCATGCTCTCCTGTCTGCGTCTCTCCAGACTCCTCATCGGAACCCTTGCCACCAGGCTGCATGTATGCGGGAACATGTCCACGACGGAAGACGAGTTGCTCGGCAGTGTTGGATGTGGAAGAGTTGACCTCAACAGCGACGAAGTAGGTGACCATGAAGAAGATCAGGAAAGCCCAGAGGATACCAAAGTTGCGCCACACATGGCTCCAAGAGTAGGAGTATGAGACTTCGATGTAGCTGTCACCGTTGATGAACGTCTGTCCGGCGACCGCGCCCTGCGTGTTGCAGATAAACGAGTCGCCAGTTTGTGCGTATCCAGGTCCTGACGGGATGAAGGCATCGCAGGGAAAGTCGACTCCGTGAAACTCGTTCGCAAGCAAGATCTCGAATGCGTAGAAGATCGGGTTGATCCAGCGAATCCAGCCAAACCAGTCGGGCATTTCGGGGATGCGGATGACGAAACCAGTGTAGATAACCAGAATGAGAACCAAGACACCAGCGCCTGCCATGGCTTGCGATGCAGTCTTGGTAACAGCAGCGGTCGTTCGGAAGATAGCTGCCATGACGAAGGTTGCCATGTAAGTAACCACGAAGAACAAGAAGAACTGTCCTGCAGTGTACCGCAGTTGGGCCAGGAAGTACAGAATGATGTTGAAGACGACTGCCTGAATGAACTTGACAGGTATATCGGCAACAATACCAGCTATAGCTTCGGTAGACGGATGATAAAAGGCGTAAGAGTTGTGCTTCTCGACGATAGGCCGCTGGGCGTATAGACCTGCGATTTCACCGATGGAAGTAAGAGCGTTGAAGAGAATGGCCAGGAAGATGACAGCTCCGCGACCTTGAAACGAGCTGGAGCCTGTAGAGTGACCGAAGTAGATGGAACCGACGATGAGAGCGATGACGACATTGAGACCAGCTTGTGTTGCAGTAGACGCAATGTCACCCCAGATGCGTTGGTATGCTCGTCGAGTGTTGAGCTTGATTTGCATCGGGACGCTGATGAGGTAAGGTGACTTGGGACGAGCGTGTTTAGCCTGGATGTAGTTCTTCTGCTGGCGTAGTTGCTCGAGAGTGCCGTGCTCGTTGACTGGGTTCTCTGCTTCGAAGTCCTTGATCTCCTCAAGAAGCGACTGGTACTCTGGGGACTCGCGCCAGTACTTCTCAAAGTCTTCCGGTGTGCGGGGCACTTTGTTCTCCATGCCCTCTTTGGCTTGCCTTTCTTGTGGGTTGGTAACGGCTGTGAGGAAGTCTCCAGCGGTTTGACGAGGAGGGCAGTACCTGTTGCGCGTTAGTTGCTTCCAGGTGTCTCGGTATATGGGGTTCCTTACCATCCTTGACGCTCAAAGAAGTCCTTGGCCTCATTGGCGGGTCCGAAGTAGATCTGACGGCCTTCGTAGAGAACAGCAGCTTTGTCAAAGCAGTCGTACACGCTTTGACTAGCCTGGTAGATAGCCACCGCAGCAGCACCTCCAGCCAAGTCGGAGCCGACCCTCAGAGCCTTGACGAACTTCAACGCAGTAGCGGAGTCCAGTCCTCGTGTCGAGTTATCCCAGGCCGCGAATGGAGCGCCGGCAAGCAACATCTCAGCAACGGAAACTCGCTTCCTTTCTCCACCTGACACACCACGAACGAAATCGTTTCCGACCTTGGTGTTGTAGGTGTGACTCAGCCCAAGCACGGCCATGACGACCTTTGCCATGAACTGGGCGAACTCATCGCGGTTCGCTCCGCCGGGTCGGTTCGATGGTGTTCTGACAGCCGCGGCAAATTCCAGTGTCTGACCTACAGTCAGATGGGGGAAGTGCTTGTCGACTTCCTGGTTGTACACTGTCTCTCCCTTGAACTCCTTGCGCATACGCTCCTGGGGAATGCCGTTGTAGTGGATGACTGAGTCATCCGTGTCCAGACCATGAAGCTCTCCAGTGAGAGCCTTGAGAAGCGTGGAGCAACCAGAGCCAGGACGTCCGAGCACAACACACAGCTCGCCAGCTCGTATGATACCGTCGAAGCTGTGGAGAATCTGCTTGCGCTCCGACTTGCCAAAGAATTCCTTAGCTCGGAAGGGTGCCATGAACATGTCTGAAACAGTGCTCTGAAGCTGCAGAGCCTTGCCCGAACCAAAGACGTCCAGGTTCTTGTACACAACGTTGACCTTCTTCATTTCGATGCCCTCGCCCTCCAGCTGGTTCCGGAACATGTTCAAAAACCTGCTGAGATCAAAAGCCTCGTTGGAGGGGTCCACACGGGGATCGTTTGGCTGCGCAATGCTCATCTGCTGAGTCACTTTTGACTGTGAGGTGAAGATGCGCGCCAACTCCTGCCTGCCGTCGTCGTCGATCTCAGCCCGTGTGACTCG